GTCTTTGCTAGGCAGGTCCTTCCATTTGGTATCTTCTAACCTGTTTGTAGAAGGCCCACCCATCTTTCAAAACTGGTCAAATCCACCTCTTTCAGGAAGTGTTTCTATCTCCCTTTAATGGGGTATGGGTCTCCTCTCCTTTATCTAGCTTTTTGTATGAGTTATACATGGTCCTACCAACTTGTCAGGTGCTTCTCACCTTCCACTAACTTATAAGACCCTTGCTTAGCTCCTGGCCCCTGGTCAGCAAAGGTGCATTAAGTGGAGGAGTAAATGAATGAGATCATAGTCTAGGGCAGGTGCAAGGCTTCATTCAACTTTTCCAGGGATGTCCCAGTATATGATTCTCAATAAACAAAAGAATTAGTGAACTTTTATCCCCATCCATCTCTCACATGTTCTTTTGTAGAGGCAGGCCCTCACTGGCTTAACCAAATTGAATGAGGTACTGACTGTATAGTAGAATTCATTGTCCATATTCAATTAGTGGGGACACACATTCATACACACAGTCACATACACATGTGCATACACACACACTTTGTCAGTTTCCCTGATGCTGACTGATTTTTGATTGGGCTAATAATAACAATAAACCTAACACTGGCACCTCTCCTAAGCCGTTAGGAGATCTTAGTTCATTTTATCCTTAGAACAACGTGTTTAGATTGACATTTTTATTATCAAATGATTGCCAGAGGGGAAACCAAAGCAGAGAGCAGTTAAAGAAAGTAACTTGTCACAGCCACACAGCTCTTGAGCAGTGGGGCTAGTATGGGGACATACCACAGTTTGCTCCTCACCACTGGGCTGTATTTCCTGTTCATCCAGGTGACTGCCTGAGAGCCAGCTCTCCTGTCATCCCGATAGCATTGCAGCACTGCAAAACCGTCCATGAATGCATGTGCACTGCTTGGGAAATTTATCCCACACCAGATGAGCTAAAACCCTCAGCATTTCTGCTGAACTGCTCTGAGTATATTAAACTGGAAGTTTCTCAGAAGACCAGAAATGTGGTCAAGCACCCAATTTCCAGGATTCTTAGTGCATTTACCAAACTGATGGCATTCATTTTAATCTCTTGCTGAAGCAAACCACACTTACGGAAAATAATTTTGTCTGTAAACACAGCCAGTGTGTGTTTCACAGTGTAATTTCCTCTTGTGCATGTTACAATTAGGCAAAGTGGAGGTATGTGTGAGCCAGCATTAACCTAGAACTGCTTATCTGGAAATGCCAAAGTGGCAGGTCTCCCTTTTTGCACTGGGTATTGTGACTCATGTTGAAGAATCCCCCCAGTGCAATGCCAGAAGGCATGCTTCAGAGTCTTGTTCAACTGTGTCGGGTCTCGGAGGTAGGAACAAGGTTCTGAGAGATGAAATAACTACCTTCTGAGTCTGAGGAAAGGAATGCACTAGAAAACCAGCCTCCTGCATTGCAGCCAGGCCTCTTTCCAGTGGACTGCCCTGTGCATGATTTTGCAGAAATGTTTAGATAAGGTTTGCCTCAGTGACTGGAACAGCATTGCAATGTGAACGTGTTATCTCTTATTCTTAGTAAAATGACTTTTGTTAGAACATATTTCACAATTTTATATTTCACACACGGTAACCCTGCTGTGTCCCTGTCATCAGCTAACTGCTGCCACTATGCTTGCTCCATCGCCTGAGGTTTTGCAATGAACACAATTAGCTGCTTTTCAAGTCTTGACAATTTTTAGTATATTCCCATCTCTCACCTGCCTTTATTAGTTTCCTTTATTTTCTATCTTTGCTTATATATACTATTTAACCTGAGTGAACAAAAATGCTAACTGAAATGTAGGCTATCTGTGGTGACTAAATTTAAAGATGTGTTTCAGTTTTTGTAATGTTGTACTTGCAACATTTTCTCTTCTTTTGCAAAATCACCTCTTTCTGGTCTTTTCCTGGGTCTTTTGGAAACACTTTGAAATGTATTCAGACTATCAGCTGCTTTTGTCTGGGGAAATCATGTAGTTGATCTGGAGATCTAATTTTTTTCTTAGCTTGAGCAAGAACCGTTTAATAGGAAACCTTCTGGCTTTCCATACTTTAAAGCCTGTGCTTCTATCTATGGAAAGTGTTATCTGACCATATTCTATTACCCAATTTCCCATAAAAAATAGTTTCTGAAGAATAACATCAAGCATGCTAACGGCACTCCTGCCAATGGAACTATGTGGCAGAAGATGGGGAATTGAGTGGCTGAGGGTGGTGGTCAGAGTGGAAATTTTAAACACTCACAATGTCTGGATTGTGACTGGGATAAGGAGGAGCAAGAGAGAAAAGGAGGTGCAAGTTTGGTGGAGGAAAGACTCAAAAGGAGTTATGAGGATTTGATAACTAGGAAAAGGCCAAAGGGGGGAAAAAAGAATAAATGGAATAAATCAAGAGAAACCCATACAGGCGAATGAAGATCAACAACAGTAGAATGAAAAAGGCACAGGGGAAGGTCAGGGGCTAGCCTGACAACTAGAAACGGCATGGACTGTAGAAACTAAACAAAGTATACAAGGGAAAGAAAGAAGTACCATTCCAGGAAGTTTCTGCCCAAACATTCAATGACTCAGTCACAGCCAAAATACCAGCAGACATAGAATACTCATGGGTGTGGCAGGCCTCCCGTGGGCAACAAGCTATGGCAATTGCTGCCAAATTTGAAAACTTCAACCTGGAAGCAAAACAAAACTATAGCCTATGGATTCCTAGAAACTGTTTTACCTTCTGTTTATAAAGTGTTTGTTGTTGTTGTTTTTTTTTAAAAAAAGGACACAAGATCTTTGATAAGAAAAATGTGGTAGAAAGATGGTGGTCCTGGACATAGGACTCCTGATGCTGGCTGTGGGCACCAGTAGTCACCAAAGCGTTTTCAGCTAGGGAGAGTTTTCTACAAAGAAATTTAGAGGCCGATATCTAGAACAGATATGGTGCAGCTGGCCAATCTGGGCCTCCAGTTAGGGAATCTGCCTTTCCTTTCAGCTGTCATGCCTCCCTTCCTGGGGCATCTCCCCAGAATTCCTCAATGGAAAGGCACAGACTGTCCAGCCTCCAGCTTAGTAAAACAGGGTAGGGGCTGGGGGAAGGGCCGTTAACAACTGCTTGCCAAACTGAAAAATCAGGACATTTTACCAAAAAAATTTAAATGTCAACTCTCTTCTGAAACACTGGATCTTTGGGCCCCCTGTGTCCACACTGAGATTAAGAACTTTTCACTTCACACTTCAACCAGAATTCCTCCCCCTCCTCCTGGCCCAGCTCCACAGTCAGGCATATGCTGATGTCTTCCTGGAAGCCTCCCCAACCAGTTGGTTTCCAATGTCTTAGGTATTATACTCCACTTTCTTGTGTGGATCTGAAGCACTTGCCTATTTTGTGCATGTTTTAGGATACGATACTCGCTGCATTACTTCTTAGGTAACAGTGACAGAATGTTCATGGTATTGTTGAGTGGTTTCCTAATCACCAGGAGGAGCTAAAGAGTTATTTTCTAAACTAGCAAAACAGGTATCTTTTACACTTCATCTCTTTCCAAGGAACATTGAAATTTTTTTTTAAATGATGTACAGTATGATACAGGCACAATCTAGAACACCCCAAGTCATGAGAGGAGCTTCAGTTTCAAAATTCAGCATAAGGAACAGTTGCCAGGTTCAGAGAATTCCTCAACTATCACTCACTGGGGCAACTCCAAGCATGTTATTTACAAATCTTCAATTTTAAGTTGTCCTGTATATGGTCACTCACTATTCATTCTGCAATGAATTTGGAATTCAAAAAATGCAGAACATTATGGAGATCATATTGGAGTAGGGGGATGCAGGGAAGCTCTGGATTTCTAGGAACAGGCTGCATTTCTAAACCTGAAAAGATAACTGACATGGATATGGTTTTACTTTCAACTAAGATTTTCAAAAGCTATAATGGGCATTGTGAGGGACTGGAAAAAAAGAAAACGTGTTAGTAAAAATGAAAAAAGCAAATATTAGAAATCAAAATAATGACTCATTTTCATCAAGATAGTATAACTCTTTGGGATAAATGCCGAATAGGGCGAACGGACTCAAAAACCCTACACGATGTGCTTCTTGAATTGCTGAACATCTAACTGGGAAGACAGATTTGGGAAGATGTTAAAACCCATATTGAATGTCTAAGTTGTTCAGGCCCTTGATAGTAGACACTTGTAAGTGAATTGTGAACAAGCATGTGCCCTGAACCACACAACATTGCCCTTGGAAGAGAATTTGAAATGTGAGACTTTCCAAAACACCCAACTGCAGTTTTGAACGTCACTCTTTTGGCTGGTTTTAACTGTGAAATATGAGAATGGGGAAAGGAAAAAGACAAATTTAGCACAGATTTTCTATCAATGATGGACGCCGTTGATGGACGCTGAGGGTACACTCTTCTCCGGGGCGTTTTCTTCAAACTTTTCTTTACGTGTACTTTTAGCAAGAGGATAAAAAGGGGGAAAGTCAAGGAAGAAATTCAGCCTAGCTCCCGCGTAGTACAAGCTGAGCCCTTCTCCACCTGCCACAGTCCCTATCGGGGCAAGTCTGTGCTTCACTATCAGGAATATGGCTCCCTTTGCAACGGCACTGCCCCTCCATCAATTCATCTGTGAACGGCACGTGCCTGGGCAGTCCTTGGTTCGACGACGTGAGAACCCACTGCGACGCGGCCTTTCCCCCATTTCTTTACGTCTCTTTCGTAGCTCGGGAATTTGGGGAGAAGACGACCACAACCAATTACAGGCAAAAATAACACTAACTAGCTACCAGGTCCAAGATAACCTGAAGAGACCCTCTGCTCAGCGTCTTCAGCCCTCGCAGCAACGCCAGCGGGCGCACCAGTCAGACGCATTCCGCCCGAGTACCCTAATCCGCAGCCGCCTCTCCTCGCGGCTGGGGGCAGATGGACCTCGTTTTCCAGTCCTCTTACGCAACGACTTTACAGCCGTCATCTTCGCCTTAATTGTGCAGGGGCGGTGTTTGTGCGCCGCGCTTTCTCTCCCTTGGGAAAGGGGCCGCGGCATCGTAATCTCTGCCTACGCAGCCCCGCGGGGCTTAGACTAGCCGCGCGGCCCCGTCCCCACTCCTACCGGCCGCCAGGGTTTGCAGCTCGCCGGCGCCCCTACCTCGCCATGTCTACCCGGTCGCCCACCTCAAGGAGGACGGGTCGTCCCGCAGGTGTGCAGGGAGAGGCGATCGGAGGTCCACGCCACGCCCGACTGGCCGCAGCCCGAAGCCGGGTACTTGGTCAGCAACAGGTAGCCTGGCTGGCTGCGCGCTCGGGGAAACAAAAAGCGCCACTGTGAGTGAGCCAGGGTTGCAGGGGTCATCGAGGGGCCGCAACGACCGGGAGGGCAAAGGCAGCGGCGGAGGAAAGCGAGAATTGGGAGGGTGAGGGTCTCGGGCCCCTCCCCAGGCTTGCCTATTCCAGGAGGCAGCGCCAGTCGTTGCGCAACCCTGGAGCGGGGCGCCGGTCTTCCCGGCGCTCGGGTGGTGGCAACGGCCGAGGCCGGGGAGGGGCGCGGGCTGGTGGTGGCGCCGCCCGGAGGGGGAGCAGGAGGGGGCGGTGGGTGGGGCCAAAAAGAGCCCGCCCCCACCGGCCTTGGCCATTGGCGGCGTGCGGGGGGCGGGTGCGGGCGCGGCGATTGGGGCCGCGGTCTCCCGTCACGGTGGGGCTGGCGGGCGCCGACGTAGCGCGGCGCTCGGAACTGACCTACTAACACACATCTCCCGGCGCGGCCACGGCGCCCGCGGACCCGGCGCGCCGCCTGCCTCCTGAGCCGCGCCCTCGCCTCCACCCCGGAGCCCGGCCCTGGCCCTGGCCCTGGCCCTGGCCCGACCCCGGCCCGAGCGCCGCCGGGCTCCGCTCCTGGCCCCCGTTCTTTCTCCCCACCGCCTGTCTCGCCGACCCGAGAGCAGGAACACGGTAAGCGCTCCGCCCACTGCCGGCCCGGCCCAGTGCCCGGCTACCCGCACGCTCTGGGGGCGCGCGGCCGCCGGGCGCCGGGCGCGGGCCGGGTTGTGCGCGGGGCTTGGCGGCAGCGGCAAGTGTGCGCGGGGCATTCGTTGCATAAACTTTTGCTGCCTTGTCAGGAAGGCAGCAAAAGTGGCTCCTTTTATTGCAGTGCTCTCGCGCTAGCACGTAGACCGGGCTGGTTTGAGCTATCCCCCGCCCCCTCCCCTCGGCTGCTGTTGCATAATGTCTCCTGATTTCGGGAAAACTGATGTTTTGGTGGAGAGAAGCGCCGGAGACTGAGACGAGGCTGAGCCATCTCGAGTGGGGAGGGCAAAGCTTTTTCTTTTATCGTGCCTTCTGCGGGGCTTGCGGCGGAGGAGGGAGGTTGAGTAATGGGGAATAGTCTTGATTTTCTTGTTGAGAAAGGGTTGGTGGCGTGAACAGTGACGGCACTTGGAGAATGCCTGCGCGGCGTTTGTTTGTGTCCCAGTTGTGTGTGCATAGACGTTTTCCACTGTGTTTGTCGTCAGCGTGCTGTACCAGCGATCGGGGAGGTTGTGGGTTTGTCCTTGCGTACATTGCATAATCTGCCCACGGTGAAATATTGGCGAGGATTACGGTTGATCTGGGAATGTGCGCGTACGTGTACGATGATTTGGTAATTTTAGCGCAGCGTTGAATATTACATCGTTATTTACATCTATAGTACGTCCCAAATCAAAAGATATTTTAAAACACGTCTACAGAACATGAAAGGAAGAGTACTTCGGGTACTCTTATTCTGATCTCGGAAATTCTGATCTCGGATATTAATCAGGGTTCGCTCCTTAGGTGTTCCGAGCTGTTATTCTTAAAACTGGAACGAGCCGTTGTGACGTTTACCTCTCCACCTTCCCAATTTTATTGTATTCCTTACGATCAGACCTTTTCCTCACCCCCCACCTTCCTAATTTTAATGCATTTCTTACTATCAGCCCTATTGTCGCTGCTTTTTCAGACACGACAGGACAGATCACATAATAGTTTCCTGGAAATGTTACATTATGTAACTGCCGAATTTGCTGGCAGTGAGCGTAAGAAGAGGGAGCTAATTACGTGATTTTATAATCTTGTTACAAAGAAAGTAGGACAGTCTCAGCCTTTAAATGTCACTGTAACAGCTTTTATTTTTTAAAGGATATATTAAACAGGAAAATAGACAACCGGGTAAGCGTTGAGTTTGCTCATCCTGCCTGATGTGTGTCTTTTGACCTAAATGAAATGTGCGTTCTTCTAAATTTAGTCCTATCACATTTTAACAATTGTGGCCTCCCAGTGCTATTTCTGGTGTTTTCTCCAGGGCTGTGTGCAAATACAAGTTCAAGGCCATTTGCTGTAGTTTTAATTCCATGCCTTCGGAGACCTTTGATAAGATTGTATTTTAGGAAGACATTTCGTAGAGCCTGGCAATTTGCTGGACTCTGACTCTCGTTTATCCTTTTAAAGGACACTTTAGGAAAGTGCTATAACTGAGAAGGCAGGGGATGGTCAATTGTCATCTTCTGGTCTTGGTTTTTGTAAATAACAGCGAATGAGGTCCCAAGTACATTTCACATAGTATTTTTTTTTTCTCCAGACCAGGTATGATTTATGGGAAACAAATAAAGGGTTCGTAGATTGTATTTTTGCCTGGATAACCTAGTTGTATTTATATGAAAATAGATGAATATACTATAATGTACCCAGATTTTATGTTTCTTTTTGGACTCTTACTAGTGTATGTTAATATATACGTATACGATGGTGTGTATATGTCAGATTTTCCTAAGGTAATATTTAAATAAAGTGCAGCGTTGCGGGGTTTTTTTTTTGGGGGGGGGAGCGTATTATAAAGATTCACCACTGGAACAAATTATACTACCCCAAATAATTGCAGTCGCTTTCCCAGAAGCTTATACTGCTCCCGGTCCCCCGGACTGCGACCTACTTTGAATCTAGGGTTGGCTTTCCGGGGGCCGCGTACCGTCACCTTCGGACTGTGACCTCCCAGCGTGACCCTCCCTCCGGCCGACCTATTGGGTTTAGGAGGTGTAAGGGTGGATTGTGGGGACTTCGGGTAGACACAGGGAGGCACCCTGGGCGGCGCTTGGTCTGGGGCTGCTCTGAGGCCTGCGCTCCAGCTCGCCCCCTCCCCACATTCCTTTGTTCTGGCGCTGGGGTCCTTAGCCGTGCTGAGGGCCTGCTGCGCCGCCCACTTGGCGGGTGGGTGGGGGGCGGTCCCAGGGAGGTGCTGCAATAGGGGGTTAGGGACAGTCCCAGGCCGGGAGTGTGGGTGTGTTAGGGGCTCACTCGGCCGAGGGAGGGGAGGGGAGGGGAGGTAAGGGGAGGGGAGAAGAAGAGGAAGGGAGGGGAAAAAGGAAGAGTGGGAGGCACCCGGGGCAGGCTGCGGGAGAGGGCAGCTCCAGGGAGGGAACTGCCTCCTCGCCTTCCGTACGGTGAGCCTCTGACTACCATAGACACCTTTGTTTCTGGAGGCTTCTTTGTATTTAAGAACCAAGTGCTTGGGATTCGTGAAATGTGAAAAAGACCTAAGAAAACCTCCGAATACCAACACACCACAGAAACTGGGGTTGGGCGGGTGGGGGGCGCTCCAGCCCTTGATGTTGGTGGAAAGAGAGGCCCCCAGCTTGAACGGCTACTTAAGTCAATGTATTTTTTTTTAAACCATTAGTTTATGCGGTCAAAGGCTGGAGTAGAAAGAACTGAATTCTCCGAATTTAAAATAAAACAAAAATCAAAACACCCACGCAGATGCCGCTCTCCTACAGTTAGAATACAGCACTTTCATCCTGGCACAGACACGTCCGAGACTGTGCTCAGGCGCTCGCTCATTCGCAGTGAGGTCAGGGCGACATCACAGACGTTCCCAAAGCGCGCAGCAGTGCAGCCTCCTTTGAAGAAAAGTTGGCTTCTACGGGATCATATCGTACACCCGTCCCTTACAGTTTGTCTCTTGAATTTAAGGCCACTGTCAGTAATTAGAGTACTCCTTTGGTGAAGTGTTAAGAGCACAGGCTCTGGGCTAGCAAGAGGTGGGTCCAAAGGCCCCAGACGGTGATCTTGGGTGCTGCCCTTATTTCTACAGGCCTTGGGGTAAACTGAGGGAATAAAACCTGTGGATCTAGGTAATTGTGAGGCGCTTAGTAAATGCTTCCTGTATTATTGACCAGGAACCAGCTTTTTTTGAAAAAAATAAAGATAACCATCTTCATTTTTCTCTGCCTAAATCCCTGTGCATTAATAGTAAGGACTGAAGTTTGTGTTAAGCCTATAATTAAAGATCCTTTTTGAAACACTTTTTTCTTCTAATAATTTTTTTTTTTTTTGGTCAAACTTCTTTGCCATTATATTCAATAGTAATTAAGTTTGAAGGGAATTCTTGGTGGGGTTGCATAACCTCAAACTTCCCAAGCCATTGGGTTAATGTTTTGGGGAACTTAAAGGAACAGAGGAGGTGCGTTGATAGTGGCAGGAATGATGCAAAAAGTGCCTAAGAGCAGGGCTTTTTCCAGTTCTCTTGAAAACTCTATGACAGTTTTCCTTGGCCTGGATAATCTCTGCATCCGAAATTCTATGATCTGTGTGGCCCATAATGTTGAAATTGTTGATGTTTGACCGCTTTGACTTACACAGAAAAAAGTTTAATTTGGTTAACCCTGTATTTGTGACACAGATGTTCTTTTCTTCACTAAGAATTGGAGAGGCTAAAAAGGCCTAGTGCTAATAATCTTCATCACCCTTGCCTTGCTGCTGCTCATTCTTCAGAAATGAGATTAGGAGCTTACCCTCAGTGTGCTAGGTCCTGTGTTGAATGTTCTATTATCAAACCCATTTTATAGATCGGGAAGTAGAGGCAAAGAGAAATTGATTAGCAGTCTGAAAACAGGATGGGGAAAGGGGTCACCTCTCCTTTCTCTCTCCCTTCCCTGAGTGAGTACAAGCTCACTGTAATTTCTGAAGCAATTTCCTTTTCTGTGTTAAAGGCTTATCTTTGCAAAGTGCAATTATAACATAACTGTGATGCAACAATCTGCAAGTTCAAACCCCTTTGTTAGAGCCCTTTCCCGGGTTGAGCAATGTGCCTGACTCACCAGCTGAGTGGATATTTCTAGTTGACCTTGCTGTGGTCCATAGCGTCAGTTCTCAGACGTGACTGTGATTGCAGCATGTTGTGGAAAAGGTGCGGTCATCTTGCCTAGCCTTTATTTTTACCCGAGTTAAAATCACACATACTTCATTATTTCCATTGTAATCCAGATGGCATCAATGCTGTTAAGTTGTTTATTTTTAATTTGTATTGAGGACTG